CCTGGAAGTGAGAGAGCGGGTGATACCCACATTCAGATCCCAATGAATCTGGCAAGTCTGCTTCTCATGCTGCAATGAAAAAGCACTGAACGTGCAGAACTGTCCAGGTTTGGACCTTGGTTTCCATATTTCCTGGAATCATGTAGTTTCTTTAGCAGTTATATGTTCTACATTTCGGAAGTAACCTTTCCTATTAGAAAAAGCAGTATTTAAAATGCATCAATATTTTCTCTATAAACACAACCTTCCTTATTTCTCTATAATGTACAGTATACCCCATGAGTTATTTTTCCACTTTGAAGAGGCCCATACCATCATTAGAATCCTCACACTAGTGAGAAATCCAAGATGTTTTCGATGTGAGCAGGAAGTCATTATGAGCACTGCTGAATTCTGAGTTTTCTATTGTCCCAAACAGCTCTGAAGCACTAAAAAAGTTACTTCACAGCAGTATACACCTGACCCTCATCGGATAAGAAGGACTGCGTTTTGGAGTTACTTACTTGCTTGGTAATAGCTCTGGGTATCTCCTATTGTTTGTTTATTCCCCGAGTCTTTAACGTAACTGTGTGCACAGATTTTGTTAGGAGGTGTGAAAATTCCTTAGAGGGCATTTTACTGGCTCAGTGAGAACATGAAGAACAGAGGCCGCCTTTGAATGCTGAAAGCCCTGTGCCAGGACTGATGGCTTGGCAATTCCAGTGCTGCTCTCATTCTACTGCAGGTTGACAAGACAGAGGATGAAACTCTGCTCAACGCATAGCCTCATACAGTTAAAAAATACTTCTGCCTTTGTGAGGTATAAGAGGAGGACTGTTTTTCAATTAATATATTCTTTGTTGGTCAAACGCCAGATTGTAACTGCATGTAGCATACTGGTATGTGCTCGTGTGTGACTGGTTTTTGTAAAATTTTCAGGAAAGGAGTATTCCTCTTCAATAGAGGCCACTCACCAAATACAAAACACGTTTAAAATCAATATACTGGTTTTCATTAATGCACATTGGCTTGCCCAGATACTGTATGCTGCATTATGTGAAGTACCCTACATACTTACAGGGCATAATATTTTTTTTGTATTTTCCTCTGATGCTGCCATTCATAAGCAGAGAACAGACTCTTCACTACGGAGCTAATTCAGACCTTTTGAACTCCAGCCTAAAAGTTCTAGTTCAATGCAGATTAATACAAGTATTTGTGCAGTTTTCCTCACCTTTATGAAAATATAATTGTGAAATCCTAGCCCCACTAAAGTTAAAGGGAGTATTGCCTTGGATTTCAATAGAACCAGTTCAATTTAATTGAAGAACATTTCAAGAATATGTATTTACTTAAAGAACAGAAACAACTGTACTATTAAAGGTAGGAAAATTAAAATAAAAGAAAATAAAACACTTTCTGGGTTTTCTTAAGTCTAGAAACCCAGAACTGTTCTGTTCATAGAGAATCAGAGAGAATGCAGATCATAATACTGACTACTCATATTATTTAAAATATCTTAATTTAATGATTTTTAGAAACAACTACATAGTCAGTGAAACCGTGCTTTGTTTTACTACATAGCGTATTTTTGGTCAATAATAACTAAATCATACTATTGCTACTGTAGATCATGTCATATTAATTACATATTTCCCATAAATATTTCAATTAAATGACATGCTGGGGAGAGAACAGGTAGGGAGAAGACAGGAAAGAAGCTGGTAGGCATGGGTGGTGAAAAAACAAAAATCAAATAATGAAAGTATCAGAACTGGATGAAAATGAAATTAACTACCTGATTGGAACTTCAGTAATACTGTATAGATAGAGCTTGCAATGCAAATAAATTCTGTTTTATCACTTTGGGAAAAGGAATATTGAAGTTTACAGGCAATCTGAAAAAGTCTTGCTAAAATGCCAAATAGAGTTCATATATATGTTACAAATTTACTGTAGAGATAATGTGGAATAGTATAAACTGACAGAGGAAGACAGAAATATAAAAGCTATAATTAAAGTTTTTGTGTTAATGTTTCCTTGATTTTTTTCAGCTTACTATAACATTCCAGTTCTACTTCTGTCATTTCCCTAACCCCTTCCTCTCCATTTTAAACAAACACAGAGCTGGACATCAGAGATAATAAACATCTTGAAGTTAATTAACAATCTATTTCAGTCCACTGTAAAATATGTCATTAAATAATTTAACATCTTACAATAGTCACTTGAATTTTAAAGATAGAAAATTAATTTTGTGGCTGTTGTTGTTTTTTAATTTAGCATTAATTTTTTAACATAGTGGAAAAAATGTAAATAGGTGGTATATTGCCATAATCATTATTCAGCTACCCTTTCTGCCCCCTAGCTCAATATAAGGAGGGAACTGGAAAGGGCAAAGTAGTGATATCAAACCTCCTTAAACACAGGACTGACCACAATTAACTCTTACCTTTGGGAATCACTATGTTCTGTTAAATTATCATCTACCACCTCAAACATAAGAGATATAGCCCGCAAGCAGGCTTGTAATTTTTGACATCCATTTTCATGCGCCTTCCATGCAAAGTGAAAATAAATGCAAAGTCCAATATATTATAAAAAAGGCCTAGAATGCAGGTCTCCCACTGCTCAAAAGACTGTTAATGGATTTTTTTTGTTGATAATTGAAATCACAATAATTAGCTGCGAGGTTTTTCAGTTTTACAGCAGAACTGGAAAAGCTCTCATTGGGAGGGCAAAAATATAAAAGAATTCTGGAAAAATGAGATCAGTAGATGTTGGCTTATGCCAAAAGAAATGGCAGCTTAAAAACTGTTCTTTACTATATCCAGGTGCATAGATGATGTCACTGAAAAAAGGGAAGAGGAATGAGTACAAATATTTAAGTGTTTTCCTTGAGAAAGGAGAAACATAAAAGCACACAACTGCAGCAGAGAAGTGCTTCAGACCAATAACATATGTTCAAGATTTTAGGTTAAAGCAAGAATCGTCTCTCTGAAAATTTTAAATCTGCTCTAATTAGAGGTATGCAAAACTACAATAATCATTACTAGAAAAATACCAGAATAATTAAAATGGGGAAAAGAATCTATTAAATATTTTCAGAAGGTGTTAAAAAACATGGGGTTCCAAATTGTAAATCTGTCAAGACCCATGAGAAGTTATAGTGTGCAATACTGTTGCTCAGTTTCAAAGTAAATAAATCTCAAACTGCCTGTTACGGCTAAAGACAGAAGGTAAAAGAGGAAAAAATCATCTATAAAAGAGAGCAGGGAAAAAAGAAAAAATCTATATGTCTGCTTTATGGTTGAAAAATCAACAAAATCAGGTGTGGCCTTATGAACCGTAATGGAGGTGCATGACTGCAGAACTGAGCACTCTAATCAGACCTTGAATTTATAGAAATCAACTTTACACGTGTATATGTGCTGATGCTGGGTCTAAATTACTGTGTGATCTGAAAGTCCTGCCCTAATGCCTTAACTTGGTTTTCAGCTGAACTTCTGCATTTCTCAAATCTTACCCTTCCTTTGCTGCTGAAAAAAAGGTTTGTATCCCTAACCATATTATGATTGCAGTTCTGTGAGCAGGAGGACTGTATGGATTTCATATGGATTTATGAATTCAGGTTGATTCCCTGTGAAATCTCTGAAGTCTAATAATGGCTGAAATCACAGTCTTACCTTCAGCAGAGGCATTAGCGGGGACGCTTTCCCCAACCTGTTTTTGTTAAGCTTATAAGAACTTAGTATCACTGACAGAGGTGAGACTCAGAAAAACTTGACTGAAATGAGCCAAAGGATTCAAAAGTTATTAGAAAGGACAGCCAGCCAGACAGAACAGAGAGAGTGAAGGAATAGCATTATTTCCTCAGGAAAACACATTATAAAACAAGTGATAAGGCTGGAAACTACGAATATTATGTAAGAGGAAAATGAAAAGTAATTTATAACTTTTAGTATGACATTCTCACTTGCAAAGGTTGGAATGTTACCAGTTATATTCTACCAAAAAAAGCACAGAATTCTTATATGAAATTAAAATAGTAACAGTTTTCAAAACCTATCTTTATTGAAATAGTGTGATAAACACAGAAAGACAATTCAGAACGTTAAAAATCATAATTTTATTAAGGATTGACTGATGATAATGTCTGTATTTTAAAACTAAATTGGTTACATTTTTAGAAGCAGTATGTATAATTAACTTACTTATGGATATTTCAACTGTATTTTTATTGTGTAACATGAACAGTCAATTTTTGTTTTTAAGGTACAATGAAGCATTATAGTTAATTCAGCCAAGTTTTAGCTAAAAATTGGATGTGGATGTAATAAAAACATTTCATTTTGTATTACTGATTTCTCTAAGTGAAATTATTTCACCTTAAGACATTGCTATTTCAAAAGGCATGTTTCAAGGACTGTCCTTGCTGGCTGTGAACAGGCCACTAGGTAAGACCAGCCAAAATAATGTAACAATGTTTGACAATTAATGCAATTACAATGTCTTGTACAATGACCGCTGTCAGACTAATTTCAACTTTAATAAATATTAAGAATGCACCAAGCAAGCCATAACATTCTCATCTAGTGCATTTTTTACCACGTTAATTGAAACAGTAATGTGAACCACTTTGGGAGATTTCTTTGAGAGTTTTCCTTGATGTATTCATTATTCATAAATGCTACTTTTCCTTCTCTCCATCTCCCCTCTAGTTGATTAAAATGATGGGGGATTTAGATGCAATGGTTCCAAGAAGCATGTGAAAGAGAAAGTGCATGATGCATGACTGGGAAATAAAGCAGTCAAGTGTCTTCTGAAAAGCACTCACAATACAAATACACCTGTGTAAGCTGTATACATGTGGAGATAATTAGTTACTTCAAAACTGCTGAAAGGCTGTATTAACCCATACCTTCTGGTACTATTAATGAGATTTCAGAAATCAGATAAAACATTATTTTGTTCAAGAACTTGATTTTATACAAGCATTTTCAAGTTGTACTTGTTCTTACCTGTAGCAGAGCTGCAAACAAATATACTGCTATAAAGATAGGAGTTAAGGAAGTGTGGCCACTTTTCATTAAGTGGATAGTGTACAAGAAAATCAGGTGTCCAGGAATCACCAAAAGAAGCAGAACTTGGGCTGATTTGTTATTTACTCCTACAATAAAGAAATCCAAAATTCAGTTAAGCTCTTCAATTACTGTATCAGATTTTTATTCATTTTAATATAAAAAGCAGTTTTAGAAATCCACAGCATTGACTATTGTGGAACAGCAGGCATTATTTTCTGCTAAAAGACTCCGTAAGGATTTTCACAGGGGGTACCCACTGCCTCATCGGTCCCTATCTTTGACCCTTGCCAGGGTTACACCTTTCTCTGGGTTCCTCTCTATGCACCACCTCCTGCACAAGGGAGTTCCTTGTGATTCTCACAGGCAAACAGCTGCAGGCAAAGGAAACTGCCAAGCCTCTGCTGCCTTTGAATTGCGTACAAGTTCAGTTTGTTGCCATTTCTCACTGGTGGTACAGTCTGGCATACAGGGGGAAAAAGAGGAGACATGAGACAGTAGTTTTAACAATTAACTGACTAATACATACCTGAACCATAATAGGTTCTGCACGGATAGTAGCAACCCTTGGCTTCCTCTGGCAGCTCTCCAGGAATGCTATGCAAATGGAGGTAGGTAGAAATTCTGCTAGCTTGAATAGCTACTAGATTACCACCAATACCTGAAATACAAAAGGGAACAAGTGGTAAATTTTCAGCTATTTTTTTCCTCTAGTAGGCAGTATTTTTGCAAATTTACCAATTTCCTTTATGTTTACCACAGTCCCCTACCTACAAAAGGTCAATAAGAGAAACATCTTTAGAATGTATATTAGTTATAGACAGGCTAACACCAAGCACTAAAATAAGTCAAAAAACTTGGGCTACGATTTGGTGTATCAGTGAATATTTGGAATATCCAAATTGGAAATTTGGATATTTGGAGATCAGTTTTAATTCATGGTAAGTGCAAAAGATTCCTCCATAAGGTTCGATCTGGCTTTCTCATAGGTGAAGCTCCCTTTTATTGCTCCCTCTTCTTTGGAAATCCCTCTTGGAACAATAGAAGTACTACATGATTATGCCACTGCTGGATTACCTTCCTAGGTCAGCATTGCTGGCAAGTATAAATAACGCAAAGCAGATGCACTCACTACCACAAGAATAAATGCAGATTTCACACATAGAATCATAGGGCTGGAAAAGACTTCAATCTACCCATTCCCCTTTGCTACAGAGCAGGATTAACTATCATCTTCTGCCTTTCATAATTCAGGTTGAAAGGACAAGACAAGTGTCTGAATAACTGATTTTTAAAAGAATGGTAGTGGTGAAGACTCTACCTTCTCCATGACAACTGTTGATACACTTCCCATTAGGAAAAAGATTTCTATGCAACAATTTCTATGAAACAAACCACCCTAGGATGCGAAGAGAAGTGGCTGGCATTGTTACAAGGCCACTGTCTATAATCTTTGAAAAGTCGTGGAGATCAGTCCCTGACAACTGGAAGAGGGCAAATATCATGCCCATCTTCAGCAAAGCATTTGACAGTTTCCCACAGCTTCCTACTAGACAAACCGGCAAGTTACAGACTGGATGGGTAGTTTGTGAGATGAGTAGGAAATTGGCTAACAGGTCACACTCAGAGGGTGGTGATCAATGGTTTTTACTCCGGCTGGCAGCCTGTCACAAGTGGGGTCCCCCAGGGATTGATACTGGGCCCCACACTGTTCAACATCTTCAAAAATGACCTGGATGATGGGATTGAAAGCATGTTCACCAAGTTTGCTGATGACACTAAACTGGGTGGTGAGGTGGGAGAAGGGAGAGCCATCTTACAGAGAGACCTGGACAGGCTGGAAGAGCAGGCTAGCAAGAACAGTATGAAGTTTAACAAAGACAAGTGCAAAGTCCTGCACCTAGGACAACATAACCAAAAAGCCCAGTACAGGCTAGGATCTGTGTGGCTGGGGAGCAGCTTTGCTGAAAGGGACCGGAGGGTCCTGGTGGATGAGATGAACATGAGGCAGCAGTGTGCTGCTGCAGCAACGAAGGCAAATCGGATCCTGGGCTGCATCCATTTCTACCTGCAGAGATAGAGACATGATCATCCCACTCTACTCAGTGCTTGTCAGGCCACACCTGGAGTACTGTGTCCAGTCCTGGTCCCCACAATTCAAGAAAGACATGGACAGATTGAAGGAGGTCAAAAGGAGGGCCACGAAGATGATCAAAGGGCTGGAGAACCTGCCCTATAAGGAAAGACTGAAGGAGTTAGGTCTTTTCTCCCTGGAGAAAAGAAGGCTCAGGGGAGACCTCATCACAGTTTTCCAGTACTTAAAGAGCAGCTACAAAGAGGACTGAGGCGCTCTCTTCACAAGGAGACATATGGAGAGGACAAGGGGCAATGGGTACAAGTTGCACCAGAAGACGTTTCATCTTAATATAAGAAAGAACAATCATTCACTGGAACAGGGACATGGTGGAGTCCCCACCACTGGAGGTTTTCAACATGTGACTGGACAGGGTGCTAGATAATCTCATCTAGGCTCCCTTTCCCATGAAAGGTTGGACCAGATGATCTTTCGAGATCCCTTCCAACCTGGGCTGTTCTATAAATTTTTACTTCGGTGAACAGAAAACTAAACCAATTTGTTATATCTACATTACAGAATGCAGTGGCACTAGCATAAAATTGTTCTACTGCTATTAACTCTAGAATTGTCTACTTGCATATCAAGCGTATGCTTTTTTTCCCCAGATGCTTTACATAGGGATGGGTTGCTCTGAGAAGACATGATTAGGCAGAAGTAATGCAGATCTTGCCCCCACTTTGGAAGGAGAAAGCCCTTGTTTATTGTAGTTGAACTGATTTTTTTATCTGATGCTTAGGGCTTTGTTTGGATGCAGAACAAATGTCTGTGGTCACCAGAAGACGCTATTTGCCAAATTCTTTTGAGGACTATGGAGTGGTTAGGACAAACATCTAGTATTGAGAACTCAAAGATTTCCTGTCTCACCACTGCTTAAAGACAATTAATGGCAGAGCCTAACATTTAAGCAAAAGGACATTTAAGCAAAAGGACATTTAAGCAAAAGGCCTCAAATATAAATCAGGAAATAAGGTAGAAAAAGTGGAGTTGGCAGAAAGGACTGTTTATGAAACTTGCCTGCATCTTCCCACTCAGGAGATATAGGGACAAAATGTGAACTACCAAAAGGTTGAGTCAGTCTTTGCAAAGAAAATTAAAATAACAGTAGCTTTTTTCAGACAAACTACAGAATTAGAAGTAAAATAAGGGATTTATATTACAAAAGGGGTTTAAACAGAACAAAACCAATCTAAGTAGGGTCCAAAGTCTGTCTTTTGATTGAGAACAATAATTTTGAGACTTCTGACAAATGAGAATAAGGTATGGAAAGGGAGGCAGAAATAAAACTAAGGATCAACGCACTACATTTGGATGGGGATCAGATAATTTCTGTGACTGAATTACAAAAAAACTGTTACGTAAAACTACTTCTTAATAAAGCTACAAAGCTGGGGATGGTGCCAAATGACTAGAAAATACGAAACAGTTCCTGCTTAAAAAAGAGGGGATAAAAGCCATCTGGGTAATTACAAGCAGGCTAACAACTGCAATAACTGATATATTCAAAACAATATTAAAGGAAAAAAATCAGTAAACTCTTCTCTCACTATCCATATCTATTATAGCATTACAAGAAGAAATAAAAGAAGTAAATAGGGCTGTTTTTCAAGGTATGCTTTGAGGTTTGTAGCAATGCAACCATAAACCATGTTAGCACAAAACCCCGCAGATTTCAAGTATTTCCTAAGATGTGTGCAACTTCCTCTTGTGACTGATAATTATCTGCTTCAACAAATTCAGACAATCAGAAATATGATAGATGATCTGGAGCTCCTTTCCTAATTAATAACAAGGGAAACTGAGTGAGAGAAAAGAATTAAGGAAAATGGAAATTTGCCCATTTGAAATGGCAATTAAAAAACCTGCCTGGACAAGAGACACATGGACAAGTCTAAGAAAGAAGGTATGAGATTGGTTGTCAATCCTTTGATGGGTAGCTATTAATCAAAAATCTTTTTACTTTTATAACCGTTGTTTAGAGAAAGTATGCCCCAAGCCCTATTGTGCATGTAGATAACAAGAAAAATGATTGAAAAGTACTAAAAGTGATTCTAAAACAAACTGGCCAGCCGTGGGGCACTAGTAAAAGGAGGTCGTATCTGCTCTGCAAAGGAAGTTGACATGCTAACCAAAACAGCCAGTGTGGAGTGTGATTTTAAGAGGTGCAACATTCTTTTTTCTATTTTAATTACAGCTAAGTTGAACATACACAATCTATTTTAGCTAACTGGAAATGCAATATTCATATGTTAAGGAAAAGTATTTTAAATTTCATTTGGTCTGAGTCTCAATAATCTAATATCAGTGGTATATTTTTAACTCACAGAAGATAGACAGGTGTACTGAAGTGTAAAAAGCTTCTAGAATCCATACATCCTGCTCAGTCTCAACCAGCCGACAATGTATGGTGCTGGGCTGCAGCAGTCACGCTGTCTTTTAGTTCTGTCCATTCATCTGCCAGTTCTTCCTTCTAATTATTTTTGAACCTTTGGGCCAAGTTCAACCACGTCTGACACAAGGATAGAGATCCTAACTACCTCTGAGTATGGTGAAACAAGCTAAGAAAAAGGAAACAGTGGGTAGGTAAATAAAGAGAAAGATTCAAAACCATGCCCTCCGTGAGACAAAGGCAGTAACACGAGCTGTATAGTTAACACCATAAACATGCGAGCTGGCCACTCAGCACCTAGCTTGGAGCTAGGCATGATGCCTCTTGCTCAGCCAGTAGTTCAGTGACACAGAAGAGGAACGATGATGTTGTGGAAAGCAGAGGGAGAATGGAGAGAATGTTGTGAGCAGTGGGTATTGCAGGGACACAAGGCCATAGGGAACACTGGGGGTTGAAAGGGCTATCGGGTGCTCTAAAAACTCAGGATACAAATCAGCACGGAATCAGGTTTCATTATTCTGCTGGTCATAGAATGACTTGTATAAAGCTATGCTTGTGTTGAATGAATGACTTCAATATGCACACAGATATTCAGTTTGTTTTGTAACAGCAGTTACTGTGCATGTGAAGTTATCTCGGCAGTATTAGATTAATCAGATCCCTGCAAAAAGCAGAAAACAGATAAAACTGCATAGGTTGACAAGGTGTCGATACACAAAATTGATAACTTCTCAGCATCTTCTGAATGCATAAAATGGTCCTGTGCTCAGTAGCTGCTCATATTATGAAAATCTCTGGAGGCATATATGAGGACTGTTTCCATGATCATTTAAGTCAGGAATTTTTTTCCTGGAAAACAGTATTGCGGTCATCATAGCAAATACTTTCTAATAAAGACTAACTTTGTTAGCTTCTTTTCATTCCAATGAGAACTACAACACAGAGGAAAATGATTTCTTTCAAAAGTAAAATCCTGCAGCTGCTACTGCATTCCTCTCAGAATAGCAGATGTGTTTAACTTCAATATGAGAGTGCTACTTTGTCAATAAGCAGAAGAGACATTGTCTGCTAAGGTGTGAAGGATGTCATTACTTACATGACATATGCTGACTTACAACATTAAAAGAAAATTGAAAAC